GTGAGAAAGTAATGAAGGGAACTGCTGCTCTGGGAGCGTAAGATGGGGGAAAAGGCTAAGAATGTGAAATAAGGSGAGGTTTTTAAGGTGTTTGAAATGTTACCATATATGTCAAAAGCACTCAGTGAGAGCTACCTCCGTCTTGAGCTCTTCTGCGGTTTTGGGGAATCCTTTGTGATCAGTGTGTGTCATGCTATGGAGTTGCATGGGATGCTTTTCTCTGCCATGCCCGAGTGCCTTGTAGCTCCTGTGTTCATCCTGGTACSCAGAGTGTTGGTCTGTGAAGCAGAGGTGATAGTGCTGTGTTCCAAGGAGTGACATAGTCAGGCACAAAGGTCTAGAAAGTTGCAGCTCACTCATCCCTTAATGTGATTTCATCTATGGAAAAAGAAATTGCTGGTGAAATCTGTGCTGGAGGGCTACATCTATCTTCAATAGTTTTGTCCCAGTCAATACATGTTGAGTATTGACTCCTGKCTATGGGTCTATCCTATCTATATATCTGTGTCTGCTTTCAAGATGTGCAATTTGTGATATTCACACCTATAGACATGCCCCACTTAGGGAGATATCTCCAAATGAGAGAGAATAGATGTATGATCCTTCAAAGGAATGAAACTAGATATAAAACCAGCTGATAAGTCTGTAGATATTTTTGCTTGGGGGTTGTAGTGTATCAGCTTTTGTCTTCAAGAGTAAAAAATTGGCTCCTTCATTTGACTTGAAATATTGGAAAGGGAGGAATAAAGCACCACTGTAGTCAGGTGTCTTTTTAAATGAGCTAAAACACACATAACAGGAAAATCCCAGGGATTCTTCAAGTGCTCTGCTGCTGAGGCTAGGCAATCAACCTGAAACTTGATTTTAAACAGGGGCCAAGAATAATACCCATTGCATTATTGTCTGCAGTCTAAACATTGTCACGGTCTCCATTTCACCCCCTGGTACTACAAGACTGGTTTCTCTTTATCTGCTGGTCTAAGCCCTGGGGTTTGTCTGCATAATATTGCTAAATTATTCAGAGTGGGCTCCAGCTATGAAAACATTGTGCATGGCTTTTAACACACACACACAAAATGGAATCTTTTCAACTGTGGTGTTGGTGGCTATGTCACTCATTTATCATCCAGACAAGTTTTCTCTTTATTTCCTTAGGGTACACTCCCAAAGTTTCAGCTTGTTAATCAAGGTGCTTTCAGACATCGTAATTAAGACACTGTAAGACTGCACGAGGAATGAATTATTCCTGCTAAATATGGAGCCTAGTCCATTTGTGCTTCCAGAATAGGAGCCTTTGTCACAGCCTTTGTCAGTTTTGAGGTTGAAGTCGTGAAAGCTATATGCAGACCCTGAGCTCTATAAAAGATTTTTTTTTCCACAAATACTTGGTTTCTTTCGAGAAGTTTTCCARTGTTCTTCCTTTAAGTACCAGCACCTTTCTTCACATTCGTACTTGTGTTATTTCCCTCTTGTTCTGTTATACAACTTGTACATAGACTAAAGGGGGAATGACGTATTTTCCAGACCAAGTCTTTTCTTTCTGTGCATTAAGAAGCTTAGGTTTACAGTGAAGTGGGACCATCCCTCTTTTCACATGGTATAAACAGAATTATCTTATGCCTCTGAGGACAAAACCACAGGGAAAAATGTCAGGGATTATGTAAGTAGCCCTTCCAGAGCATGTACACAAAATCTTGGTAGTCATCTCTTTCTGACTGGAGACTTGTGTCTAGCAAGTGTCTTAGCACTGATCACATTAGAGAGGTGATGTGGATTGCAGGATGTTTTCTGTCCATATTCATGGATGATACCTGCATTATTATAGGGCWGCCTTTAGGGTATATAGAGCCATTTGCATCGCTGCTGTTCCAAAGCAATGTACACAAGTGCTTCCTGTAGATGAGTAGTAGGTTCTGATTCACTCTCAGTGTGCAGTTCCCTAAAGTGCCAAGTCCAATGTAGGATCTGCCAGTTTGCTCCAGGTGAGAAATGCAGGACAGATTGTACAAACTCTTATCGCCTGTCTTAGGGATACTATTATCAGACTAATGCTGTCCTTGAGTTTGGAGTGCTGTTTTCTTCCCATGTGTTCAACAGAGGAAGGCGTCTTTCTCCCTTTTTTTTTTTTTTTTTTTAATTATGGTTTTGGAAAATTGCAGGACAACTTTTAAATGCTTTCAGGTTTCTAAAGCAGAACCTTTGCTAAACATTTGCTCTCTTTCCTGCATATTATCCCAACAATCGTTAYGCATAACAAATATACATTGAAACACACAGAATTTTTATTTCTTGAAATGGACAGGCCAATTGCAAAATCATGTCTCATGAGAAAATGACCACTCTCTGGAATTTGACTTTTGCACTCTGCTGGGTTGTTTTTAAATAGAAGTTCTGGAGTCGTAGCAAAACACTCCTTGACTGGAGCAATTGWGAACTGCCATGTTTTAACATAGTTATACTTTCTATTTTGCTGTTATCATTCCCAAAATACATGACTCTATACTCAGTGTACCATGGAATGGCAATAAAAGCATTTTGCTGGTTCTCTGGCACCTTTTCACATTCTTTTTGCATTTATTATAAAAAGAAATGTGAAATAGGTGACAAAGAATGCAACTTCAGACTTCTCTTGCTGGAGTGTTCTGGTTAGCCTGTGTTTTTCTTAAACACATGCTTTTTCTGATTATTTTGTGGCTTTTTTTCTTTTTTACCCTTCTGGTAAAAGACACTTTAGACAAGGATGGTATCTACATGACATCAGCTGACTTAAATGTTAGCCACATAAGTAGGTCTTTGGTCTTCAGGATAGACTTAGCACAAAGTAGCARAATACCACCCACCTTTCAAATGTGCGTTGTCAGCTCTGCATATGAAGCATATTCCAAAGCTAAGTTGCATTTTTATATGGAAATCTGCTTTTAATTAGGCAAAATTCCATATAAAAATGCAACTTGAGAGACTTGAATGGGTAAGTTTTTAGCTAAGTAGCCTCCCCTATATGAGTATAACTTAAATTCTGTTTTGAAGTTTTGTAGCCAGACATGAATTTCACTGAGTTTCCCTGCCTTAACAGTGCAGATAACAGCTTAGAGGAGTAAATATCTCTACCTTTAATGATGCTACACAAAGACTGCTTTTGGAGGCAGTTAGCTTCCTATGCACAGTGATCCAGATTAGTTGATGGAAACTTTGCATCCAATGATGGGAACATTGCTATTAATCTTGCTCTGTTACCCATTTTCCTTTCTTTTCCCAAAAGGGATGTTGTGGGTTATTTTAACATTATTTACTTTTTTTAGTGTGTCACATTTGGTATTAGAAAAACATTAAAATACATTGGTTTTCTTATTTTTTACCTTCTTGTCAAACTGGACGTATAACCTCCCTTCTAATCACAGTCATTTTAACTACTAATTTTCAAAGYTGCAACATGAGGGGATAATTGAATAGTCCTTGGAGGAGGGTGAGTTGCTGTGCAGAGGTCTGTCCTTGCCTCATCAATTCACAGTGCTGCCACTGGGATGGTGGTGTGGGTAATTCTATTGGTTTGTATTGATAGTAGATCTGCCTTGGTGAAAAGGAGGCTGTGCCCCATTACACAAAAATGTGTAATAAAAGATATATTATTTTAATGCCCTGTAAAGCTGAACACATCATTTTAGCACTTATGGGGATGAATGGTTGTTCGCTCCCCTTATGTGTTAAAGTATGCTCACTAGACATGCCCTGTCTCTCACCTGCTACGATACTTTACCTCTGTTAGAAACACCCTGTAACATCTATAAAGGTACTTACAATATGGGATTGATATTACAGCTGTAATAACAAATCATAATTTCTACCTAGGAGGAAAAAGAAATTTGGCACATTGCCTTCTTTCACACTTGCATTCCTTTCAAGCCTGAAACAAGTGTAATGTGAATGAAAGTGCTCGGGGTGATGTAGTCTCTCTGTCTGCCTTTTGCTAGTTTGTCTTGAGAAAAGCACAKAGTACAGATTGCATGCCCAGTATGAACTAGCAGCCCTGCAGCAGCAGTCACCATTGTACATTGGGTTGAAGAAAATCTCTTATAATAAATGTGGTGAATTTATGTGCTTTTGTTCAACTGAACATCTGGATTTTAAATTTCATCAGTTTGTTATGAACTCTGGACAAAAATTAGAAAAGAGTCAATTTTGTACCTCATTCCCAGCGTGTGAATACTGGAACTTTGRTTTTGTTTCTGGTGTTTTGGTGAGTGAATGCACCAACTAAACCAACTGTATAATGGTGATTGAACTTGGAGGGTGTGCTGCTGGAAGATATTTGATGTGCTGTTTGTTTGGATTTAGAATCTGGATAGAAAGGTGGTATTTGCAAATTGTAATTCTACGGAAGCCAAACTAAATTAGAGGCTGTCTAGCTCATTCATCTTTTTCAGCTTAAGTTATTAATTTGGTGKATAAATCATGCAAGGTGCTTTCTCTCATTTTTTTCCCCTCTTGGGGCAAAAGCAAAACCAATGGAAATATGACATTAGAAACTGCTTTGGAGCAGCTTTCGAAGAACATTTGATTTTTGTATGCATCTCAAGTGAGATTTTAGTGATGACTAAAAGGTCAGATAAGGGGCCTGCAGATGTAGAAGATATGAGTTACTAAGAAAATAAATGTGGTCAGATTTGATTTTAAATAGTGCAGCTGAGCCACAAAGCATACTCCAACAGAGATCATCAAGGAGCTTTAAGGCCCACCATTACCTCTGCCTAGAGATTCTATCTTCAACCACAGTTGTAAATTAAAATGTAATGTTTCTGCTTTTGAGGTAGGTGTGTTCTTATATTGTGAGCTGTTAGGTTTTCTGCCTATTTAAAACTGAACAAAACTTTAAGAAAAAAAAGAATATTTAAGCAAAATTTGAAGAAAAAACTTAGGGGACTTTGACAGAAAGAGGGAATGTAGACTGACTCAGGAATGGAACGTGATACTCTGTCTTCATTATCTCTGTTTTCCTCCCGTAGATGAAGTGGTTCATGTCTCGGTTCCTGAGAAGCTAACCTTCGAAGAAGCTAAGGAGCTGTGTCAGAAAAGAGATGGCGTCCTTGCCTCTGTTGGGAACCTGTATGTTGCCTGGAGGAACGGCTTCGACCAGTGCGACTATGGCTGGCTGGCTGACGGAAGCGTTCGCTACCCTGCCTCTGTGGCTAGGCCGCAGTGTGGAGGAGGTTTACTTGGGGTGAGAACCCTGTATCGCTATGAGAACCAAACAGGCTTTCCTTACCCAGATAGCAAGTTTGATGCCTACTGCTATGAACGTAAGCTTTCTTTAGTTATAATTTTCAGTATGTTCACAAATTCTAACCCTGAAAGTATTTACTTTAATACATGCTTTGTTTCAGTTTTTCGGTTTTTGCAGAGCACATGAGTGTGGTTTTTTAAATTGTTTTTATTTTTTTAATCGCTATGGTTTGACAAAAAGAGGAGAAAATCTTAAAAAAAAAAAAAAAAAAAGCATCTTTAGAGACATTAACAGATAAATACAGAAAAAAAATAAGGTAAGAGTTCAGCCTAGGCTGTTGTGTTTAAGCAGAGTGACACATCACACCTGGTGCTGTGAAATAGTAATTCAGTGCCTGGCTGACGGTATGTTAGTATTTTCTATTTCATGTCAATTAGCATGAAAATTGAAGAAAAGCCCTGAGAATAAATACTAGACCAAATGAATGACTGTCCTGCAGATTGATGCTCTATTTCCAAAGATGGCAATAAGAGAGACTGTTACAGACTGCACACAGGCCTGACCATTTCCAGGTCTCCCAGATGACTGCTCTTTTGGGGCTGTCGTTTGATTCCAGGCATTTTCTCCCATCTTATTTTTTTTTTGTCTTCTAAAACAGTTTTAATTTCTGCTCTCACTCTGCTGCTTGGTATTTCATGTGCACACTGTGGATGGTTTAAATTGTCTGTCTTACTGTGATTGTGCTGCTTGTTTCCCTCCTGGTATTTTGAGAGGCACATTGAGTGCTTGCCACATCCGCCCTGGTGGAYTGCATCAATCTAAACCAGATTCTCTTCTATGCCTGTCAGCTTTCCTCTGGTTTTGAGTTCCTCTGCAACCTTTTACATCATCAGTGCCAGCAGTCTGACTCTGCTAAAATTATCATGCAGCTCATCCTTCTCGTACAGATTCCTTTTGTCCACAAAAGCCCCTAGCTTCTAATACACCTTCTTACCTGCCTCGCTATACTGTGCATTGCAGTTCCAGATCTCTGCCTGCCTCTTAGGTCTCCCTGAAATTGGCAGTCTTGAGACCACCACCAAGGAGGTCTTGGGCTCATCTACCTAGCAGCCTCCAGAGCATCCATTCTACATTGTTGGTAGTTCTATTTTTGCTCTTCCCATATACCTCCAGATAACCTATCCATGCATCTCATGATGTCCAGCATGCAAATTGGTCTGCAGGCTTCTCAGATGTCACAAACCCAGCTATATGCATGCCTGCTAATAGAGACTCCCAGCACCTTATTTCTGTGCTTTAAGAGCCTCTCTGTCACAGGAATGTTCTTGGTACAAGAGAACACTGCTACTAGCTGGAAGGTGAGTCCTAAGAGGTTAGAACGCTTATTCCCAACTGAACATCCCCTTTCCTGAAACTTGCAGCCTCCTCAGCAGGATAGGGGATTGAACTGCCCTTTGATGCCCTTGTAGAACTTCTCTGAGGCCTCAGAGAGGCCTTTCTGTTCCATGAAGTTCCTGTTGTTGCAAATAGTACTGTTAACAGTAAGGAGTAAATGCTGCTTGTGCTAATGTAGACATCAGGACTTGGTCTGCCTCTAGTTTTTTGAGACTTTCTCATGTGGCTTTAAGTCATGGCTACTTGAAATGTGCAACCTACTGTCCTCGTTTCTGTGAATGATGAGCCAGCTGTAGCTACAGATCTTTCCAGCACAGTCACTGGATGTTCTTTTGCAGGCAATCTTTGCTGCTGAAAGCAAATCCTGACACCTGGTGTAATATTGCAGTCTGGTAACTCTCACTTTAAAAAGTGTGTCGGTGGAAACTGGAGGTGCCCCATGTTCTCACACTCTAATTTGCAACATTTTAAAATAGATTTTTTTTCCCTCTGTTTTTTGATGGGTAAGATCTTGCAAAACTGCCTATGAAAGCAGTCCTAATGGACTTCAAAGGAACTGCATGCCAGAAGAAGGACTGGTTAAGCTCAGGAGTGTGGGCTTTATCTGCATAGTGATATTTTGTCATACTTCTCCTTCTGTCCCTCTCCTCAAGTGTTTATCATCACTTTTAAGTGTGATGGGTAAAATTGACTCTAATGGGGATGAAGCTCATCAGTCCCTCTAAAAGACTGCAGGAGGGACTTTATAATTTGCCTGTAATCTAGTCCATAGAACAAGTTTCAACTTTTCAAGCCATTTGTGTGAGTGAAGGTCACTCATTTCAAATAAAATGTGCGCTCCGACTGTTCGTTCAGGAAGATTTACTTATCGAATTTTAGTGACATACCGTGCATCCTAAAATCATTGTTCACAAAAATTTGGGTGGCTACTTTCATGCACAGAGAGTAAATATTTCATCAATTTGCAACCCAAGAAGTAGACAGTTTATTACTTTGGATCTTTTTACAAGGGGAAAAAAGACTAATCAAAACTTACTTTTATTTATTTATTTATTTATTTTTTAAGACAGGGCTCTGTCTCAACTAGAGAGGCCTTTTAATTGCAGTCAGTATTAGACTAGATTTGCTTAAAAACTACTGATGATTCAAATTTTACTAAATACAGCTCTTTTGTGTATGGGAACACAGTAGTGTAACACTGAGCTGTGTGCTCTACTTCAGCCAGTGTGCCATTTATTTCAGAAGTTCACAGAATCACAGAATGGTTGAGGTTCAAGGGAGCTCTTGAAAGTGTTCTCTCTCCATTTCAGAAGATGCTCAGGATGTCACAGGAACCAGCTGCAACTCTTCATTTACTTTGCTAAAAGATTTATACAAGTGATGAGTAATGAGACTCACTGTCTAGCATCTTGGACTTGCACATGTCAAACTGCAGCGACTGTAGACTGAGTCACTCTGCTGGAGCCAGTCCTTTTTATGAGGAGAGAGAAAGAAAACAAAAAACGGSTCTGTAGTATAGCAGGAAACTTGAACATAAGTCCTTGTTCCAATTAATCTTTGGTCTTGAAGTCTCTTCTGAAACATCCCAGTCAAATCTGTTTCAAAGTTTCACTATAGGAATGTATGACGTTGAAGTCTGCTACCCCTAAGCCCAGCCTGCACTTACTCTACATGAAGCTTGTTAAGAAGTCAACCTATGCAGCGTTTCCCACAGCACCAGCCAATAAAACAGTCTTTTCGAAGACCTTGACTGTTGACTCCAGCTTTTTGTATCATTAGGTATCTCGTACTATATTGTTAAGTTTTCTTCTTAGCTTGAATACTCAGTCAAACAAAGAACTTTTTCTGTTGCTCAAAAAAAAAAAAAAAAAAAAAAAAAAAAGGGGGAGACTGTTACATTCATTTAAGGGATCCAGGTCTGCTAAAGGGAGAAACAGAGAGTTCCTGTGTGAGCCAGGCGAGATCAAGCTGGGTATCTAGGCTAACACCAGTGCTGGAGGTCTGCAGAACAGATGYTTCATACAGCTGGAAACAGTGATGCCACATTTTTACGATGTCCCACTAAAGTTTCCTCTCCCTCTGGTGTGAAAGCTCGTGAAGYTCCTATTGACTCCACTTGGAGAGCAATGTGGCCACGTGCTGTGTCTTTGGCTTGAAGTGAAATGACAATGATTAAGGATCTRTATCTGCTACTTTTACTCATGCTGAGTAATTTCATCCTCTCTCAGTAAATCCATGAGAACTGACGCCTCTCAGCCCCAGAGAGGATTAGGGCAACTCTAGAATTTTCCCATACTCTGAAGCAATAGATCTGTGTCAAAGCAGGCATCTGGCTTAATCATTAAACAACCCAGGTCTTCTGCAAACATGATAGGTCRTTTACAAAGGGTAACTCTTTCTTTCTTCAATATAGCTTGTGGTCTTCACTCCCATTTGGTGATAAAAGTCTCATTGATGGAAACAGTGATATATGATATCAATATAATAATTTTAAATTGCATTTAAGTTAGAAGAAACCTTAAACTATATTTTGAAATTTTGGATGATTTTATAAAATGCATTATATAGATTAAAATACATAAAAAAAGTAACCAAGCAGTACGTTTGAGTTACAAACAGTAGGTGTTAATTTCAACAACACAACCAAACTGCACAATATTTACCTGTAGTACAGTTAAGTTTCAAGATTTTAACTTCAACTTTATTCTGATTACATGTGTACAAAATCACATTGTACAAAGTGTCTTAACCTTTAGAAAGTAAAAAAGGCTGAGACTAATAATTTGTGATTTAAAATACAAAATCTTGTTTAAAAAAAGACCTTCACTACTTGGATCACAAATATTTTTACTGTACAGAAACCACATGGCCCTGAGTTTCTAAAACATTAGTCATGTTTTTTATCTCATCCTTCCAAAACTTCCTCCTTGTGGAGACTGTTTAGTTCTCCATCTTTTGTCTGAAATGTACCTAATGATGTATCTGGAGAGGCTGGAAAAAATTTTTAGAGGCCCATGACTAAGTACTTGAGACCTTCTGGGGCTCATTATCAGAAGAAATGCATTTGAAGTCTTAATATATAGAAAGTTTCTTAAGTTTAAAAAAAAAATTAAAAGTTGTAGATGAACAGTTGCTGAAAACTGATTTTTATTTGTAATTGAATAAAACATTTCAGCAAAAGCTATTTCACTTCTAATGATTTCTAGTTTAAAGGCTAGTGACTGCATAGATATATGGATGTTTAATTGTTTTCTTTTTTATTCTTTCTTGCTATTTCCCTCTGTCTCAAGATTTGATATACTGAAGTTTGTGGGAGTCTTAAGACTGACTTCAGGAGGCTTGGGATTAGACATTTTATACAGGAGCATCTCTAGAATAAATTACATAAATGCACTAATCAAAATGCACGAGGCTTTTGTTTTAAATACTAGTAACAAAAGTGCACTTGATGAACCTGTTYTGTTCAAAAAGAGAGATAGATAAATCTTATGAAAAAAATCCATATTTTACTGAGAAACACTGAATACTTAARCTATATTGATTGACAYCTATATTGATTTTGGTGAACCTTCCAGCAAAACATTTTTTGCTGTCTTCATTTCTTTCTGGATTGACTTTTTCAGATCTGCTTTTTGTTTTGGCTTTGTTTCATGCAGCTTTGTTGTTTCTTTTTAGTTTGGATTTATGTAAATTGGAAATATTCAGGTTTTGAGATGCTTTGTCCTATGTATTAATTCACTGAAGTTTACATTGTTTTGATTGTTTCAGCAGACCCACGTCAAGGGTGACTTCAAGTCATCTTCTTGTAATTAAGAACCTGTTTGCCTGATGCTTTGTCTGTCTAAAGCTCAGAATCAGAGACTGGTTTTGATAGAAGAAGTATGGGAAGCAACAGCTTTCCTAGTATGTAACAGGACAGACCTTTGTGAGGTGACGGAAATGAAAAATAGTTGCATCTCTGCAAACCTTTTCCTTGCCCCCTCAAAACCTTTGTTTCTGACAGTACAGAGAGTTCAAGTAAGAGTATTTCAGCACATCTCTGTGCATGTGGAGCAAAGCAACTTGTAAGCACTGTTTTTCTGTGGAAGACTTTCTGTAGAAACGCAGTACGCAGCTGAACATCACAAAGCCAGTGTACTACACGCTTTTGTCAGCTCAGTCCAGTATCAAAATGGGCTGAGAAAGAGTAGAGCAACATCTTCAGTCATACRACTGACCACAGGCTGTTAGCTCTGCTCATGCTTCCTTTCTCCTATGTGAAGGTGAAGGCTTAAACTGTCTTACTGAGGCAGCTATTTTCACTCAGCAATTCTCTGGATTTTATTATTTTGTTAAGAATATAGGTCTTTGTCCTTCTCTTAGAAATGCAACTTAGCAAGACATGCATACCTGCAAATTTCGCCAGTAATATCTTGGACAAAGTATAGGTCAAATAAATCCCTAGAGCTCGCTCCTGGCTTCATAGCAAGAGGCAAACCTTACAAAGGAAGTGCCTGATAACAGTTTCCAGCATGTTTCTTATTAAAATCCTTATTTGGTATCTTTAAAGTCTGCACTCTTAAGTTGTGCAGTGTACCTTCCTTGGGAAAAAAATACTAAGTTTTAATATTGCTCCATTATTTTAAATCCCTATTTAAACARTGGTGAGAGAGAAGGTGAAAAAAGGCTATACAGTAAAAGCATAAGACAGAGAGTGGAACAATATCATATCTGTTCAAAACTACATTCTCCATCCAAAACCAACTTCATTCAGGTTGTTCATAACATAAAAAGAATCAATAATAAAAATCAAAAAATGAAATAGCCTTTGATATCACCAGCTGCTGGTGAGATAACTTGCTTTCTTGCTGCTAATAGTTTAATGAATTTTATTAGGAAAATCTGCCTCATGGCTTGCATTGGAAGGAAGACAAAGTAGATAGCATATTGCATGCATGTTGCAAGGACTACAGTAATGTAAAACATCTGGGTGGAGAAGATGACAGTTAAAACTGACATTCAGCCTATTAAAACAAGGATTTTTGTTTTCTCACAGAAAAAAAAAAAATAATAAAAAAAAGGCAGAGAGATTTCTCCATGAAGAATAAACATGTTTTTTCGATCCACTCAAAAAAAGTTTGCAAACTTAAATGAAATGTGTGAAGGATCCTATATCTCCTATTTATGCCAACACAGTTTTAGTTGTCCTGAAAATTAATTCTAGCCAGAACAACTCTTTGGATAGTGCTAGATTCATGCTACTTTGCACATGAGAAGAATTGCTTGTTTATTGGTAAACTCTTTAAAACTAAATACTTATGGCAGTGTGCAAATTAATATTTGCTGAATAGAATACCTTTGGCCTTTGCTCTGTTTTTCTTTATAAATAGAGATTTATTTTATTAAGGAATTATCAGATGATGAGTGATGAAGAATAAGTAAYGGCATCTCAGACATAAATCTATGAATATCCAGGACATCCTAACAAACAATTTCGGAAAAAAAGCGGAAAGTTACCTTAGCAGTTGTGAATACATGTACACACATACCCAGCAGTGATGGAACAAGATTGTTTTTTTCTTCACAGATTGTAAAATCTGTCCTTATGCCCTCATTTTGTCCAACTTGGCTATATAATGGTAGATAGTGGTATTCTTTCAAATAGTGATCTTCACTTGAAATGTGTCGATTGGACATTGAGCAAGTAACTAGTGTTTGCCTTCAAAACAAAGTCTGTCTGCATTAAGGAAAATGACATTACCTTTAGAAGGGATAATACAGGATTATGCTGTCTGCTTTCCACTTTTCCGTAAGGAAGAACCATAAGACAAATCTGTCTTATGATAAATGTTTTTTTATGAATGATTTTGGTTATCACAAGTTTTTGGTTATTATTTGGTTATTTGCGTCACTACCAGTCAGTAGAACAATATTAACTTGTCTGCATGTACTCTTAGCTCTCTCTTTGGGACGTGAAACTCATTTGTTTAAGCAGCTCATTGGTTTAAACACTTCGTGAAAAATAATTTCAAGCATAACAGTGTTTTTTTAATAGCTTATATATATGTTTATATTATGTATATATATTTATATAATATATAAAAAATCACGTCACAGTAAAATAACAGGCATTGCAGAGTAATCCATTTTAGGTTTTAGCATCCTAAAATTTAAAATAATTTGTTTTAATCTGTGCTTTCCTTTGTGAGATTTACAGAAGTTTATTCCTTCTTGCTCAACTAAAGGCCTAACCCTACAAGAAGGAATACATAAATAACTAAATCTTATCTATAAAACTACACACATACAAATTAACATATCAGAGGGAAAATAATCCATTCCCTTCTCTCCTGGGAAAGAACACYGCTCTTTTTAACCATAGCAATGCCATATCTTTTTATCGTTATAATTACCTTTTCACTTTCATTTCATGTTCAAGGCTGAAATATCAATTATTTTTTTTCACATTTCCTTACTCTGTAGGTCTATTCATTCTTCCAGAARTTCTAAGCAACCAGCCTCTGGCAAGTCACTTCTGTCTACTGCATGATAAAATCAAATAGATTGCCTGCAAAGRCAACAATTTCAAAGTTTGGTGTGTAAAACTAAACAAATATTTGAGTGAGCCTAACTTACGTGCACAGAATCCATATATACAAATATCAAAGAGGCACCCAATTAGACATGGATGTGTGAAAATAACTGATTTGTGCATACATGCTGTGAATGCTTCTTGAGCATCAAATGTCATTGTACAAATATAGGACTACAGTTAAGTCTAAAATCTTCTCTTTTTTTCTTCCTCATCTTTGCTCATGCTGATAGATACTTAAAACCTCCCCTGTGTTCCTTAAATTCCCAGTGAATAAAATAATGTCTCATCATCTAGGYCATCTTAATACCTGTAYGTCAGCAGTAAAAGTTAATTTCAAAACTCATTTCTTCTCTGAACTCTTATGCATACTTCACACAAAGTAGAGTTTTTCTGATCTCTTTTGTTAACTCAGAGCTACAATACCAAGCTTTTGTGTTCAAGGTCATCTCACTGTTTTATTTCTTGCATGTTTGAGGAATAGTTTTCTTGCTCAATTAAAGGTTTAGCAATACTTTCTTTTGACCTAAGCTCTACATGTTGCTGTATTGGTCTGGTGATCAGAAAACTTGTTTAACGTTTTTTTATTTTGCTCAAATTTTTATTTTGTTCGAAGGGCCATATTTTGCTCTTGACTTGATTCCATATAGAGCTTTTGACTTAGCAATGGSCCCTTAGCAATGAAGATTTAAGATGTTACCATCTAGCCCCTGTCTGTTCCTATTTCCCTGCTAAAGACTATTGACCAGATAGAAGAATTGGCAGAAGGAAAGATGTTTTTATCCTGACCTATTCCTGAGTAAATCGTGTCTTCTTAGTCCATATTCTTAGCATCTTTATTGCTGTTTTGAAGCCAGACCCCAGACTTTGCAATASAATGGCGCTGGCACACATTCCCTTCTCCTATAGGGTGGAAGTCTTTGGCAGGAGGAGCGCACAAGGAACACTCCAGACCATTGTAGTTGGATTTACTGGAAAGGCTTTACTTTGTGTCTCTTGTGATCAAGGACAGTTAGTAACTCCTTGTTCTCATACTTCACAGAGTTCAATATTCTGCCTTTTCATGTGYAACTTTCCCATAAAAAAAATCTTTTGTGGGTGAAGGAAGTTTAAACATGTACCTTTGAAGTGTTTTCCCAAGATCAACATCATTACAGTACTAGGTTTGTGATCTTAGAAGTTGCTGYTCTCACCTTTCCCCATAATCTACATTTCTCTGAGTATAATTTAAGCATATGTCAGCAATTCTTGTGGCATTGTAATACCATGCTGTTTCATGGCATACTTATTTCTGCTGAAGCACGCTCTCACTCCTATGAGTGCTCCTTTTTGTGATTTGTAATTATGYGCTGAAAATAAACTAAATTGATATTTCACTGCCTCTATACAGTTGAGTTGGAGAAAATCCACAGATTTGAAGTACTGTGCCTTCTTGTCATCATGGAGTAAATATTTTTATTTTCTGAAYAGTATTTAGTTATCTGATGGGTACACATATAGTATTAGGCTTTCTGGGGATAATTATGTAAGTAATAAATAYGAAGAATACTGCTATGGTGCTCATTTCATCTCTAATTGAAAATCATCCAAGTTGGATGCTCTGCAGCATTGTAATGTGGTATTTTATAATGTCATTCAAAGCTCTGCTGTATTTTAAAAAGTTGTCTAAAACTTTWGACCTTGATGCTTTTCTCATAGTAGCATTTAGTTTTCATCAGGAACATTCAGACTAAATTAAAATAACATTTGTCTGTGCTATCACTAAATGATTCCTTAACATGTTTTTTTTTTTTTTCCTTCCTTTTTTTTTTTAAGGAAAAAAAATCATACCAGAGTCTACAACTCTTAAACTGGGTACGTCTCCGAAAACTGCGTCAGACAGTGTGAAACCATCRTCTGCTAAAGTTACTCTTAAACCTCCTGTTTTTGAGCCTTCAGTTACTGAAGTGGCTATCACCGAAACAAAGGTCCCTTACTTAGAAGAAACAACCTTTGAGACTGAAGAAGGTAGAGAAATGACTACTGGTTTGGCTGAGGAAAAAAGGGAAATGGAGGTGCTTATGAAGAGCAATCAGTTGACCACTGTTCTACCTCAGACTGTCACAGATGGAGAGTTAAGCACTTATGATACACTGGGAAGGACTCAGTATGATGTTTCACCTAGCTTAGCAGAGAGTACATCTGCACCTTTGGAGGAGCACACTTATTCTGAAGCAGAATTGCCCGAGGAACAAGGTAGGTCTGAAAGCATTGAGGACGCTTTCTTGACCTCTGTCACTTTTCAGGATAGCACCACTGTAGTTAAGAGTTCTTCTGTTTCTTGGGAAGATATTGAAACAGGCAATTCAGAAAACCATGATGATGATGACCAGACTGAACAAATAGAAGTGGGTCCTATGATGACACCTACAGACAGCTTGGTATCAACTTCACAGAGGGGTTTTCCCAGGACAGGGACTTCAGTTTCACTAACAAAAGAGAAAAGCTATTTGGGTACCCAGTCAACAAAAGAACCTACAAAAAAATCAATGGAAGCAAAATCTGACAAGGAGCTTACAACTGTTGTAATCCCCAAATCTTTTTTCACTGATCAGTATGATCTTACAACAGAGGGGGAGGGCAACGAAAGCATGTTCACTGTTACACCCGATAGGATTTCTGGCATGGTGACTAGTAACATCCTAAAATCAGATGTTCCTGCTGTATCAGAAACATTCTTGGATGAGCATGTGGTAACCACTGAACAATTTTCTATGGCCAATGAGTCAACTCCCTCATTGAAATTTAGTTCCTCTGCAACTCTGTTTGAGGATAATGAAGCATCGGCTGAAGGAAGCAGAGAGGACTTGAAAGATGAGCAGCCTACCATGTCATCTGCAATGCCTGTGTCTTTTACTCTACCAGCTGTTAATCAGACAGGATCTGAGGCCATCACTCTCTCAGGAAGTGGTACTTTCCCACAAAGCTTTGGAGAGAATGTCACATCCATCATCCACTCACCTCAAGAAACAGTAAGATCGACCATTTTAGAAGAACAGGAAAAAACGAAAGAGCCAGAAGAGTGGACAATAGATGTTACGATCCCTTACGGCACAACAGTCATTCCTGCTTCTGTTACAGCAGAATCTGAGGGACATTTTGTAAGTGAGAAGTCAACACCTGCTCCTTCAGCCTCCAGCATATGGCTACTGACAGAAAAGGATCAGGATTACATAACAAGAGAGTCATCTCATATTAAGAGAATAAATGAGATGAGTACCGAAGATGGTGTATCTGGAATGGAGCCTACATCCTCTCCAGGGGAAATTATGGAACACACAGAACACCCAGGAGCAACAAGTTCAGAAATAACAGATGGAATTAAGATAAGCACTAAGCCAATGGAATCAAATGATGATGAAGAAGCTATATCTGCTGTTTCTGATCAGAGTAAAGATATTGGAAGTGTCATCCCCACAAGCAGCTCTTCAGATATGGAAGCGATCGTGGTATCCGGAATATCAGTGGATGAAGATAGCATAACAATAAAGCCTTTTAAATCCTCAAGTGATAGTGAATTAACAACTGCTTTGCCCACAGTTATGGAGGGTGCTGAACATGAAGGATATGAAACATCAGGGTATATTTTGAAAACATCCATRTCTACCCCAGAAGTTGAACGAAGAGAGGTTACTGAGAAATCAGTAACAACACCTGCTGATGAAGATGTCACTACTGAGATGGAGGTTTCATTACACACAGCGACAGAAGAAGATCAGACAAGCATTGCAATGGTAACTGAGGAAGAATCACTGGCAACTCTTCAAGGCATAGAAGGAACATCATCAGATGGCTTTGAAGGAACAAAAGAATCCATAATGCTTACAGATGTGACAAAGATAAATACTACAGTTGCCCAGAAAGAACATGATGCTTCCATAGTTCCGGATACTGCTGAAAATGGTTTCACTAGAGATATGCAAATAAYTGATCAGACCACTTCTGGTGGTCTCATTCCAATGGAAACAACTGCAAAAGACAATRAAGTATTTCTAAAGGAGCTCTTCACAAAAGATCAAGATATGGAACCAGATACTTCTACAGATTCGACCTCACCTGTGACAGCTATTCAAATACAGGAACAACAGACGRCATCAGAATCTGGATCATCTCAGTCAACTGTTCAAGAAAAGCAGGATGAGGCAGGTTCAGCCTATGATGAGACATATCCAGCATCAGAAGTATCAGTGCCTTCAGTAAAGCTGATAGATTATGGAAGAGTCCTAGGACCTGCTGAAACGAGCACTGTCACCTTGCACCTCACAGTGACTTCCAAAGCTGCAACTGCTGCTGATCAGGAAGAAAAGTTTACTGAAGCAATGTCTGCAACAGCAAGTACCCAAACAAAAACAGATGAAAGCAGAGGAACCACTGCCAGAGAAGAGGACAGCAGCATAGTGAGTTGGGAATCTGTGTTGCCCCCTCATACAGTGCCAACAGACCATTCTACTGCAGAAAGCATTACTCTTCTCACGTTGGGAGCTTCTCCAAGCCAAACTTTGGAAGGTTCAGGAGTATCAGAAGAACCTGAAGAAATCAAACCGGTTATAATTTCAGTAAATGCAACGGAAAAAACAATCCTCAGTGATGTAACTACATTTTCTGTTAGTGCTGTAGACAAAATTCAGCCTACATCAGCAACCAAACCTACTCCAAAGTCACCACATATCGTTTTTGATGATGATGAAGCAGTAACAAGTAGTGACATCATAGTAATTGATGAGTCTATTTCCCCCAGTAAAGCCACTACTGATGACGATCTGACAGGAAGAATGTCAGAACCGGAAATTGATAATGAATATTTCACATCATCAACTGCTACTGCAGTTGCACGACCTACTGCACCACCCAAAGTGAAGGAGGYCACAGAGGCTTTACAACCTCAAGAGGTCTCTCCTTCTACTTCATCCCCTGATAGTGGAAGTGACATAAGATTGTATGTTATTCAAATCACAGGCAATGATACAGGTAAGATTTTGCCTTTTAGACCTACTGTCCAGCACAATGGACAATTTATCATAACAAACTGGTGTATTTTAGAATATACCGGAGATGTTTCTTGGATCACTGAAGCATGCAAAGTACCAAGTTTTATCTAGACAGCAACTTACTAAATGTTGGTAGGTCTATTTTTCTATCCATATAAAAAAAGAAAAAAAAAACTTAGAAATGTGCAATATATATATATGGTTTTTGGCCAGATTACTTTTCATGTAAGAATGAAGATAAAACACTGCTGTGTTATCTATTAAGAGTCTTGGTGGTTATATTCCTGTTTTCTTATATGATGTTGCCAAGTCATTGATTTAACTTCAGCTACTTGTGAAGCAAGCGTTTTAATTTCACAGCTTCCATTCCATGCATTACTAGTCTTGAATGAAGCACTAGATTATGTTAACATTTCATTAGTCTGTACCTATTAACAATGCCATTTAYGGTGTAGTCAGCTAAAAAAAGATAAAGACATACTGTTATGTCCACAGATCTATCTCCTGTGGCTTGGGGAAGGATTTTTGCAGGTTTTTGTAGCACATCATAATATTTTTTTCTGACTACTTGGTAGCATGTGTGATGCAAATTGATATAATTTGTACAGTTTCATCCAATTTTTTTTTAGCTGATGGCACTGTATATGTGTATGCAGCTTCAATTCCATGGGTATCCAGAACAGAAACTGCTGAAATAGCAATGAACTATTGAGTTTTATGATGAATGTGTTTCTGTAATATAATAGCTGAAGGCCATTCAGTTCTAAATAGAATAAATCTGTCAACTGACTATTATATATCTTGATAAAGCCTTGTTGTTTTAAATGAGATAAGAAAACTGACGAAAAATGATAAAGTTCAAAATAGTTATTTTAATATTGCATGGTTTATTTTTTAAGGAAAATATTTTTCTTTTGAGAAAGAACACAGTAAAAATACATTTTGTGTGCCTTACATATCATAACTGTATATGCTGATTTAGAATGGTTATAGAACAAAGTGGTTTCTCTTTGATTCTTGACTTTAACTTCCATATCTCAAAAGGACTTATCAGCTACTGTAGTTTATATATACATATAGTGTATACATATGTATACATAGGTAGTTTATTTAAATATATAAACTACAGTTTATATACTGTAGTTTATACAGTACTGTAGTTTATGCAAGTCTTTTGATTTTGTCAGGAGTTCCGTTCTGTTTAGCAGAGTTATTTTCAGAAGTGAAAAGGCAGCAGTAGATCCCTTGAGATCAGCTGTATCATTATGGAACCTTTGCAGTAGATTTTTATATACTTTAGGCTTATTATGCTATTTTATATTTACAAGATCTATAGTTGCACAAGTTATATCAGTGGCAGTTTCACTCTGTTTCAGAAAATAATAGTTCTGTTATTTAAACACTTTTCTGACATTTATATACTTTTGCCTCTGGGATGCTTTATGGTTATTTTGGCTGAAGTTGTCGATATTGTTAATGTATGAGAAGTTAAATGAGACAGTCTGGTAAGTCTGTTGAGAACGGAAGGTAATTTCTGAAGACTAGAGTTAGGTTACATACTGAATATTTCTGTAGCTGTGGAAATTTGATTAACTGAGCARAATAATTAATAGTGAGACTGTACAGTAGTGACATAGTTTCCTCTGTTATACTGTTGGGTTATACTGCAGTTTATTGCGCACAGGAGAGCAGATTGCATTGAGCAGCTGTGTGTTCCAAGTAGACGGAAGAAAGTTGTGTGGTTTGGAAATATGTAGAAATTTTATATTTTCTTCCAGTGGTGTACAGGATTTCTATCTTTCAAGATTTCTCAGCATATGTATCAAGAGGAGTCATAGTTTATGTTTTGCTTAGAGCACTTGGGGATATTGCAATTCTGTGAGTTGTTAATCCAAATCGGACTATGTAAGGGACAGTGGATCAATGCATTGTCACTTCCACAGCCAGGCTTGCTCTCATTTGGGTGATCTAGCCCTGAGGATGGACTTCTGTCAAGGTTTACTCTCTGTGTCTTCACACACTTGCTGAAGGTGTGCATGCATATTTGCAAAAGTGAATGCGTTTATATGTTTGTGGATATTTACATGTGAGTTAAAGCTACACAGTCTTTGAATTCTGCCTTTAGGAGTGAGTATTCCCTAAATGGCAGTGTCTCKCTTCTCCTAAGATGCAAGGAATTTTATCATGTATTTAGTACAAGGTCAGAAAGGAATTTTCTTTATTACTTTCTTTTCAGAATCTGACAGTATAAGTTCCTACAATTTTAGCTACTTGCAGAGAAAAGCCAACCTATACTACAAGTGAGGTTACAGCTGCCAAAGATTTATTCTGTCTGAGGATTTGGACAAGTGTTTTCTGTGCTTTCCAGAGAAATGAAAGGCTGCCTCTGGAAAATCCTGTCAGACACTTTTTCACTCCATTGTACTTCAGGATGCAAGATTTCCTTTGTGCTGAAGAGAACACATATAGGCGGTGGTGGAGAGGAATGGATTTGGCAAATATTCTTAACACATGCCCCTCACTAGGATATAGTTCAACTTGTCCTATCATTYTTGATTTAGAAATTGATTCACAGTCATCCAGGAAACACAGAAATGATACTTTTGACTTTTAGTTCTCAGCTAAATGGGAGCAATAAATAGTTTTCATCATTATAGTTCTCTGGTAAAACAAAAGTTTTTCCTCTTTTGCCTTGGCATATTTTCAAGATAGCTTGGCATTCTTAAATATAAGATAATAAGAATATAAGCAAAGGTCTTCATGATTGTGAATCCAAGAGCTCAAAAATGCTAAATTACTAAATTGCTAAAACATGGCAACTTGCATACTGTGCCCTTCAAATAATAGCTATTGTAAATAGTAATCTATAAGGAGAGGTTTGCTGTATGAAAGTTGGATATAAATGAATATAATATTTCCTTCTTGTATATGCAGTAAAGTTGGTAATATTTTTTAAGAAGTCTTTCTTCACCTTCTTGTTGCTCAGTTTTTGCTAGAAGTGACCGTTATTAAAGCAGAGCTCAATGGAAATACAGTACCATATTGCGAGCAGGGCAGCATGTGGATATGGATGGGACATGGCTCTCTCTGCGATGTGTGGGTTGTCTGGAGTCCTGCTGGAGCAGAGGGAAGCCCTCTGCTATTCCAAGTCTAGTAACTGTACCTGCGGCCAGGATCTGAGAGAAGTAAAATTGGGAAGTATTTCTTGCGCCTTTCTCTCAAACCCTCACTGAACTGGCACCGACTTTGCTGAAGTGCTTTGAAGGCTTGAGATGGAATGTGTTATGGAGGTACGGAATGTGTTATGGATGTATGGAATGCAGGGGATATTATTCTTTATTATTATTTTAGATGCAAGACACACTTGAAAGATGTTGAATGTTGACAGGGTTAAATTCAATTTACATATACTGCCAAGAATGTTAGGCCATTCTAGACCCCACAGGTTAGTCCYAAATAGTACAATATATACCCTCATTTTGATGCTAAATATATTTTTCCTTTTTAAAACACAGTACTCCCTTAAATTTATTTGACCAGCCATCTAGAAAGACATTCTCCTAAAGGATCTCTTTTGCCATCCGAGAGTTAAATTGCTATACTTCTAACTTCTCATAGGTTTGCTTGCAATCAATTAAAACTTTCATAAATGGTGTTTCATTTAGTTTTAGACATAAAATTTTAGTCACAGAAACAGTAGTAGTTAGAGGCTGTAGGTCCTACTCATTATCCTGTGTTTTGGTAAATACACTCAAATGCTCGTAAGAAAGAACATATAATTCAGTGCTGCTTATTTGTGCAAGTATTTTTTTGTTTTCTGTCTTCGCAATTTTCTGTGATAAAACGTATTGTGCAAACAAAGCATATTCTGCCATGTGAGCAAATGTGAGGCAGGTGCACAAATTAAGAGGAATATAAAGCATGCAGTTTCTGACAATTTATGGCACACACACACTCAGACCAAGGACAGGTGTTCAGATTAATGAGTTGTGCATGGGGAATCATCCCGTTTTTTGTTATAGAAAGGAAAGTGCACATGGTTCATAATGGAAAGGGCTTGARACTTCATTCACTTATGTGGGACAACATGAGCTCTATTTGGCTCATGACAAAGTTATCAAAATGAGAAAGCTCCATAGCCCTGTGATGTGTTACCATAATAGCGGTTTTCCGTGCATCAAACGGGACACAGAAGTTCTGTCTTTCATCACAAAGAGGTAAAGTTTACCACTTTGTGCCCTTTTATGTTCAAATAGCTCCTGTGTGTTGTAGTGGCGGCTCTGATGCTGTTGCTGGAAGGTAATGGATTAGCAGCTGAAAAAAGAAGACTGAAGGAACGTTTCAGCTCATAAAGCTTTTATGAGCTGAAAAATGCTTGTGGGGGTGTTGTTTAACAGTGGTTAAGGGGATACTGGAAATATAATCCTGTCTGTATCAGGAGTAATTTGCACACCTGCACTTTTTGGAGACATTTAAAAGTCTTTGCTTAGTGAATATGTTTCAAAGTGCTTATTGGACTCCGGGACTCACACCAGCTCTATCTGGTTTCTTGTCCCCTCCAGCTTTGAACAGAATGAAACTGCAAGGACTTGCGCTTTGTAGATGTGGAATTTTGTGGAAAGAGGTTATAAACCTTTGTGTTTCAACATGCAGTTCTCTCATGTGCACATTTCTGCCTTAGAAATGTAAGAGAGTATGTGAAATTTGAATGAATACTGTAGAGTACAGAGCGCTAATGACTCATGGTTATAAACTTTTTTTAAGGMAGACTACAGTCTTTTCAGGTCCTTTTAGACCAGGTTTCAAGGTTCATTTAGTCCTCTTGTCCCCTGTGCTCCTACTGGAAGGATATCCCAGAGCGTTGTCATTTTGTGCACACATTCTTGCCAGCATTGTCTTTAGCTCAAATAATTCTTTTTTCCTCTCTGACATTTGTCTCTCGATAATCATTTTTTGTCTGTTGAGTTACAGCAAATAACC